CTATGGATTCCGCCCCTATTGTAGATCCGGTCTAATCAGGGTGTCGTCACATGCGGCATAACCTGCGTAACCTGCGTATTCTAGTAATTTATATTAAAATACGTTATTTTTTATTTACTAGAATACGCCATTCTGAAAGACGGCATTCACATTGGGCGTATTTCGCTGAAGATTAGAGAAATATGGAACTAATGCAACCAATTGCTGATTAGAATTTCTGTTGTACACTCTAACAGAAATGCTAAAGGAATTTACGATTGGTTTTCGTAACCTACGCAACTTGAAAAGTACGCCTCATGGGGAACCGGTACTTTCTATCGCGTACATACAATACGCGTTTGTACAAATTTAAAAGAAGAAAGTCTGATTTATAATGGCCGTAATCATTAACTTATGCCGGTGCCGGTAAAGTTCAACCATAGGATTTCAATGCTTTTGTTCATACTAACTTGCCGTATTAGCATGAAAAGTGTGTAGTGCCATGATGGAAGTAACAAGGTGTGTTCCTACTTAGGACGCATTTTCGTTACGTTCTGCGCAGTGAGAACCGCCATCTTGTAATCACAGCTGATGGGTATAGTGTTGTCAGTGATACAGATTATATTCATTTTGATTATTACGATGCCGTCGTGTGCAATAGGAAATTGTAAAATCAATTTGCGAAATACAAAAAACAAAAAATCAATTTTTTTACATTTCCGAAGAAAACAGAAATAATCGAAAAGTGGAAACTTGTGTGCAAAGAAAATTTTAACCCTAAAACCGGTATGTATATTCGTTGGTATGATTATTTGTAGTTAACACACGATATTGTAATTAATAAAATGTAATTGAAATTAATTTATTAAATGTATTATTGATTTGTCTAGCTCGTGTCTGTTCAGAACATTTTCATCATTCACAATTTGAAGATCAATCATGGTTAAAAGATTTAATTGGAGAATCTGGGAATATACGAGTAAGACTCAAACGTGATGTAGTTCCACTGGCAGCCATAGAGAACAACCAAATTTCCATGGATAACGATTTGGGTATACATATAGTCCATTTTTAACATTTAAAGTGATTATTATAACATTAAGCATTTCAAGCGATAATTTTTATAATATATACCAACAGTATTTGTCTTGTACTTTGCCTTTTTTTATGTATTAAATATATTTTCAGAAGCAGATGTTGCACAACCTGTTGCCCATTGCTCGTTTAATCCAGATACGGATTGTGCTGCGTCGACCTCTGCATCGAGCTGTGCAACTCAAATTGCACTGAACACTGCAGTGGTTCCTAACTTTGGTATGTTCTGTCACTGTATTTCACCTGTTTCTTAATTTGCTTTTACAACAAATGTAATTAATACTTCAATTTTTTATTAACTTTAATTTTTTATTTTTTATAATATATTTCTTTATTAATATATTTCTTCTTTCATGCTGAGGCAGATATCTCTCAGGAAATGCAAAAATTACAACGCAGCCTTACTTCTGAAAACGAAAACCTTAGGTCTGAAAACGAAAGCCCTTAAACGTCGATTGGCTTTGAAAGATAAACTGCACAAGGAGCAGTTGACACAGGAAATGCAGGATAAGTTATCTCCGTTTTTCACACCAGGACAAATAAAAATACTTTTAAATCCGAAGCAGAAGAAGATCCATTGGACTAAGGAGGATATTGCGGCTGCAATTTCGTTAAAAAACATAAGCCCAAAAACTTATAGGTATCTGAGGAAAACAAAACAATTTCCTTTACCTGCAATGTCAACCCTTCGAAAAGAATATAACTATATAACAATAATATATAACTATATAAGAATATAACTATATGTAATTGTATATAAAATATATCAATTTTATGTATATACAATTTTATATAATTATACATATAATTGTATATGAAACATTTTGGTATTATAGTTATTATTATTATTAGCATTAAAAATGTAAATTATTTTTAAAAATGTATGAATAAAAAATGTAAAAAAATACAAAAATCTAAGAAAAAGAGTTCCAAAAAGGTTCTTGAGATATTTTATTTTAATATACATATACTGTTTCATCTTTCTTCTACAGCCACCTATACTTTGAATTATATTCCTTCCTTAGAAGAACAGGCATTATTGCATGAAGTTGATACATTGGATGTCATTGATGTCATAGAAGAAGAAGGGCTGAAATACATTGCCGGTTATGTAGCATACAGATTTATGCATAAATATAAAGATTTAGGAACGCCTACTAAAATGTTAGTTAATCCAGAAAATGACTGAATTAACTACATTTCTAGAGGACTATTAATTAGTCCTTCTTCCCATTTATATGAAGTTGCGAAAGCGACGAATATCGAATTTCAAATATTTCATGGAACTTTTATTCGAAAGAATCCATGGATCTTCAAAACAGTAGCCGATAAAACTCAGGAAAAAATACAAAATATACAGATTCCGCGAGAGATATTGTTATGTTTAGTACGTGCATGTACTTATATACGTATTAGAATCATCAATAAACAAGTTTCTGCAAAAAACCAAAGAATAAAGCGCAATAAAAAATTTCGAAATTTACAAACCGTAAAGTTACTACATTTTAAACGTAAATTTCTTTTTATTATGTACTAAATGTATGTATTTTATTGATTAATTATTTTATGTTCTTTGTTCTTGTTGAAATTTAAAAAATATATCTTTTTTTTTGTAACAATTTATTCATTGTAGTTATTATTCCACTTTCTTTGCATGAAGTTTCCCTTATTATATGCATTTGAATTGCTCAAGATGGCTGAGTTCAGTGTCGCTCTCTCATTGGCCAGCGAAGAATGTATGCGCAATAGCACACCTTAGGTTTGTTTTCTGTTCCTGCACTGGGACTGCACTAGAACTGAACTGAACCGAACTAGTGCAAGCTAGAACTGACGAGTGTAAGGGTGCCGTCACATGTACATGGAATCGGAACGACGGAACGGATTTCTTACTAGAAAATTTGATATCACTACAATTCCGTTCCGTAAGAAGTTTCTCTACCCGTCCCATGTAGCCGGAACGGAATGAAAATGGACGGAATGTCGCCTCGGTCGCAAGTTAATTTGCCTAATTTAATCGATATTTCGTTATTTTAATGCGACTAAAGCAGTAATATGCATAATTTGTGCAATTATCTTATTTATAACATTACTTTGAATACTTAAAAATACTGAATTATAAGAGTGAGATATATTATGTTATTCTTGAGGCTTTCACGG